CCCCCCCCCTTCAGCTTGGCTTCGCTCCTGGAGAAGTTGGGGGTTTTTTGTTGTTTTTTTTTTTTTTTTCTTTTTTAAATACAAATCCACATACTGAATTTTAAACAAACAAATCCTACCCTCCCCACACCCCCCCTCGCACACAAGCCTGCCTCTGGGAGGGAAATAGCCAGGTGGAATCTCACTCTGTTTCCATGGACAACCCGTCCATTATCACCCAGGTGACTAACCCCAAAGAGGAGGAGATCCTGTCCTGCACTCAGGATAAAGGTGAGCTGCCTTCGGTCTTTCTCCATGGTTTTTATTTAGTTTTTTGTTTGAGGGTTGTTGTTTGGTTTTTTTTTTTTCTGGAAATCGCTGCTTAAAAATGCACGTAGTAACAACTTGCATTCTTCAGTAACCGTATAATCCTCTCTCGAGGCTGCTGGGAATAGAGGAGGGCTTGTTGGGTTTGGTTGGGGTTTTTTTTGTGGGATGAAGGTATTTGCGTGAAGGTCTCTGAAGCTGCTTGCTGAATACAGCCGAGAACTTGTTACAGTGTTTAAATACTGAATTTAATCAGCAGTTATTTAAATAAAATACTCTTGTTCCTTGAGGGTCCGCGAGGTAACTTTGTAAGGTTGTCACTTTGCAGTTAGTGCCCTGCTTCAGGGAAAGGATGCCTGTGCTGGATGTGTTGCAAGGTTTTGAAATCTCAGCTCTGAGGATTTTAATTTTTTTCGCCCCATTTTTTGGGAAAAAGGGTTTCCCGATTTCTCTCTGCTTCCCTGTATTTCTCCCTGCCTCACATTTAAGAATTTGCATAGCTTTCGGGTTTGTTGTTGAAGGATACTCGTGTGTCTCAGAAAGAAACATGGGCTACTTTTAAAAGCGGGCTCTGTTTACTCTCTAGATAAATAGCTGTTGTTTGCATAAGGCATCACACTTACGTTGCATTTTACTCCAAAATAAGTTGAATCCAGCCTGGCCAAAGGAGCTCCTTCTCCTCAAAAGTCTGGACGTTGACGATTGCCCTTAATCTCCTTTCCTTCTGGAAGCTCGGAGGGGTCTTGGGCTGTAAGTGGTTGTGTCCTTACAGCTGGCGATGAGAAAGGTACGGGTAAGCAGCAAGGTTCAAGTTCTGGGGAGTTCTGTGTGATTGCTCACAGATTTTGGAAGTTACTTGGATGTCGAGTTTATGCTTTGTTATGGGCAGTGCTGGTAAAAAGGGGAGAAAGGACAGAAATTGGAAATAGAGTGTGTGGCGATGGTCCCTAGTAGGTATGGTAATAGACCTCCTAATAGAGTGGTCTTCTAAAAATCGTAGATTGATATATCTCCCCCTAAAATCAATGCTTTTAGTATCCAGAAAGCTTCCATTTTTGTGTGGCTCATCTTCTAAATAGTGAGGGGTCCTGTATTGTTGGAGAAGTTGGTCCCTGTTACTTTCGAATGAAAGGCTGTGTGTGAAATCTCCGTCTTCTCCTCTCACCAGTGTTGACTGCAGAAGTAGTATGGAGGTAAATTTAAAAAAAAAAAAGAAATGCCATCAGGGTGGGGGGTGTTAGAACGAAAAATTATTTTTCTGTTTGGTATAGGAGTATTCATGTAACTCTCTTGAATTGGTATCGCTTGTGAAGTGATAACTTCCACCATGAGGCCTTGTTTGTCTCAAGAGATTTATGATGTTTTCCTCCGGTTTGTCAATGTTGAGCATGGGGTGTCTACAGTAAATAAGGTGCTGGTGCTCTGCCTACGTTGTCTCCTAAGACCTGGTTTGGAGCAGACTTAGGTGGTACTGTGCTCAGATGTTGTTGTGGTCTTAGCCTATATTATTGTACATACTGGAAGAGCTTCATTAATGTTGTTAGCAGCTGGTTGAAATTTTAGTGTAAAAAAGCCAGTTGAGACAAGTAGAGGAAAATTTGACAGCTCAGAATAAGAGTAAGCATCCACATCAAACAAGTGTCTTCAGAGTCCTCGGTACAGTGAGCTACTCTGCGTAGCAAAAATATGCATATAACTTGCATAACTATGCAGTAACTTGCATAATATGCATTGTGTTCTTGCTATTGGTTTGTCTTTGGCAGAAAATTATGATGGTCTTAATTGCATACCAGGGGTTTTTCAGGCTGTGTGTTAGCAAGGGTGGGCTGGGGGAGGGGGGAAGGAGGGTAGTTGGAGTTTGAGATGAGGCAACTTCAGCATGATCTTAATATAGGAGGTGGATTAATGGTTTTTTCTGTATTTTTTTTTAATGTGGTTAAAGTGCATGCTTTGGATTGACTATGTGCTCTGTGGTGAGACTCTCAAATCACGCCAGAGCAACTTTTGCAGAAAGAGAATTGCAGGTCTGTCCGTCCTGGGCTCTGGAAGGAGAGTGCTGCTTGCTCCTACCTCTTCCACTACAGGTTTTCCCACTGCTGGAGGTACGGAGCTTGTGAAAACCCGTTGCGCTACCTACCTTTCTTGCGTGGTTGCATATCGCGTCACCCAATTTTCTGTTAGATTTCTTAACAGTTTTAGCAAAACCTTTAGGTCCGGTGAGCTATGAGAGAGCCTGAAGCTGAGATGGTGAATACAGATAGGTTCTTAGTGGGAGACTGATGTTTAAAGTGAGTCTTCACTGGTAATTCAGATTGAACTGAATGTATTGGTACAAAATGGCTAACAAATATGTTAAGGCATAATGAGTTAACTCTGTATTTAACAAATACAAGAATCACCTGAGCCTATCTTCTGAAATTTTCTAATACAGTGAATTACAACAGCACTATACTGTGTAAGCAAAGGCTGTCCAGTTTAATGAAAACCTGCTTTTTCCTCCAAGTTTAGCGTATGGCTGCAGAAATATGTTCCAGGGTACTAAGTGGCATGTAGTGGCTTCGGGAGTCAGGGTTTTCTTAGGGTTTCTGGGACCTTCTGTTGGTGTTTCTCATGGAAAAAACCAATTTTTTTTCCTGTTGTTAAGCTGGAGAGAAGCAGTTTTACAGTAGCTGAGCAACTGCTAAATAATGCATGTGTATACCTTCAAGTCTTTGATTTTTTTCCAAGATTTTTTGAAGCTTTTAATCAGCTGTGAGTCCAGCATTTCGGTTGATTTATTTTTTTTTAAATGTATTCATGTTTTAAAAGGAGCTTGATGTGCAGTATATGCTTATGCCCTATTTCTCTTGTGCAAGAGAGCGCGATTGGCAAGAAACAGAGCTGTTCTCTGGTTGTGGGGCAGTTATGTTTTTGGGCAAATACTGTACTTTAGAAATAAAAATGCGCAAATATTTTCTTGCTAGTCCAGATCTATTAAAAATTAGCTTTTGAGATAAGTGAAGCTGTGACAGCTCGTTAAAGAGGAATTTATTAATACTAAGATGGAATCGTTAACATTTATTTTTAACAAATAGTAAAAAATTTCAAAGGTGGGAAAAAACAGATCTTGGTACATGAAGCATTCCCTAATATGTTGCCACATGGTGGTGCACTGTATTTAGTTGTCTGTCAAAATGAAGGCTGAGCATGGAAAGTTGCTACAATCATATTTTATTATTATTGTAATGTTTGTTCTGAAATGCCTGTGGTGGTCATGCTCCTGGAGGATTTTGGTCCCTATCTATGTCGTTAAATTAGTTCTGGGAAATAGAAACTTACGTTCTCCCAGTTGGAAGTGCTACGTAGGTGATTAAAAATATTTTGAGCACTGAATTCATGGAGGATTTAATTCCATGTTAGTTTTTTAAGTAACAAAAATAGTAGTTCTTTGCAGAAATATTTTATGTTGTGGTCATTTGGCACTTCTGGAAATTGGAAGCATTAACAAGACTTTTAACTTGAAATTAAAATGGAGACGCAAGTATGTGAAAGGGAGTTTGTTAAATCAGTGATAAATGTGAGCAACTAAGAAAAAATAGAAATAAAAACTACAAAGAAAAACTGAAAATCTAAATCTCTACTGAGTTCTACAGATAAAATCAACTGTTTATTTTATAAGGAAAGTATTACTTATTAATTAGTTTAACAGTGATCTCTAATGTAAAATCTATACAGTTAAATCTAGAGAAAAAAGTGCAATGCTGACAAGTCTTTGCATTGAGTGTAACGTAGAGAGTATGATTGCGGATGAGTAATAGGCATTCCGTCCCAAGAAGTTAATTCCCTTTTTTTACCTACATGTTTTAATTTGATCTTCATAAATTATGCAAATTCTTGGCTGTTTCTATGTGCCAAGTTAAGTAGTAGCATAATAATAGTCCAATCCTCCTTCAGGTACTACCTTGAGGCTGTGGTGTTGTGTTTTCTCTCTTCAGATGCATCTTTCCTGACTTCTATAAAATTTGTCTGTCAGCTGAGCATCTATTTTCAGTTATTTAGGGTAACTAAATGTTTTAGTGCCCCTACAGAAGTGTATTTTTTTCTGCAATAAGTTATTTGAAAAAGGTTCACAGTGGAACCTAAACCATTAATTTTTTTTTAATGAACAGTATAATTCTCTGAGGATGTTTTTGCAAACAGGCAAACTTTTTTGCCTTCCTTTCTTTCAAATAATATTGGAGGAGAAAAAAAAAAAAGACGACGAGACCAGTATTCATTATCATTTAAAATAAAAGTTCTTAAGATCTCAAGTTAAAAGCCAAAATAACTATCTTTAATTGTGTCTTCAATAAAAAGCATTTTGAAAATATATGAACATATTTTGAATATTCTTTTTTGCCATTACATCACCAGGATTCAGAGTACTCAAACATTTGAACGTATGTTAATGTTCCTGAGACATTGTCTCAACAAATTTTTATAATACTAACTTCAGAATTTTAGCTTTAAATTAGTATTAAAAAAAAAACCACCAAAACCCCCCAAAAAACCCAGATGTGGAAACCACTCCAGCACTACATTGGAATGTGAATTGCTCGCAGAGGGTAAAATTTTAAATCATTAACTAATGACATAGTTGTTATATGAAACCAGAGTAACCATACAGTAGGTTTTATGTTCCAGGGAGACTGTAGTAACCTGTAGTAACCCAAGGTTTGATTTAGAGTAGCAGTTAACAAGCTGAAGTGTACTGGCAGTAACATGAATTATAATTTGCATGAATATCTAATATTCAGTCCATGTCTGTAAGCTGCAGCATTATCTTTTCTTCATAGTGCATGTCATGTCAAATTCATATTTGTTTCAATGCAGTGATTTAGCTAAAGTGTTCAGAAGTTTAACATGCCTTTAAAAAACCAAAGTTGACCTACATTTTGTCGATTCAGTATTCAGAAATGCAAATAGCGTTTTCTGACATAATCAGT